AGGAGAATCTGGGATGGGGGTGGCTGACTCCGTTCCCCCATGATCACCCTTCCTCGGAGGGCTTACTCACTTCACCCAGGTTCCTGATGTAAACTAAATATAAACTCCTAAGGCTTTCCTCCCTGAACAGACCCCCTGTTGGCCAAGGGGATCCCAGAAAAAAGTTAAAAGCCAAATTCCCGGCCACAGTGGGAAGGGAGGTCAGGCACACTCTGTGACATGCCTTCTCTTTTGGAGTTTAGGCAGAACTGACCAGCATAAATGCTAAGATAGAGATCATAAGACTAACAAAACAGACTCTTTGTGGCAATAAGGCACCAAATGATAAATAGGACCTGAGTCCATGCCAGGCAAAGATGAAGTCACACACTCCACAGGTCACTTTGACACAGTGGTTTGGTTAGCAGACTTCCTCAACTGGAAACATTCCTTTCTGCTGACTCAACATTTTTAGACAAAGTTTAATCTTTCCACCAATTGCAAATTAAAGACTCTGGACTCACCTATAATCAGTAAGCCCCTCCTTTGTGATATCCTGCCTTCTGGGGCCAAATCAATGTCTAATCTCCATGTACCGATTTATGACTTTTTCTTAACCTCTCCTCCCCTGAGATACGTAAAACAGCTGTGACCTCACTGCCCTGAGACCACTTACTCAAGGCTTTTTCGGTTTGTGTCTTTTTCTGGGCTGCAGTTGCTCATGCTGGGTCAGAATAAACCTCTTTCAAATAGTTGATGGAGTTTGTTTTTTTCCATTAACACTGAGTGGGCTGCTCTTCCCAGCAGTGGAAATACAGTGCTTTTTGTTCAACAAGTGGGAGAACAGTGTCCCAGCAAACGCTTTTGTCTGTCTAGCTTGGTCTTTTATTTGCCATGGAATGTCACACTTTCTTGGGGACAAGGTGAATGTCAACTTTCACACTTGTCTGGGGGCCCTGCCCAGTGACTTCGGGGGCACACAGGCTACCAGCTTTTCCTATGCTGCACCCACCCTGAGACCTTGCGGGGCAAAGGTATAGTCATTCTTCCCCCCCCACCCCTTCCCTCACTGACGGTAGAGGACACCAGTGTTTCCTGGGTGGAGTAGATACAGATGGAAAGCCCAGGTGTGGCCCAGGACACCAACGGGAGGGGAGGATTGGCCAGTCAAGAACCTGTCTTGGGCTGGGCGTGGTGGCTCACTCCTGTAACCCCAGCACTTTGGGAGGCCAAGACGGGCGAATCACCTGAGGTCAGGAGTTCAAAACCAGCCTGGCCAACATGGTGAAGCAGTGTCTTTACTGAAAAAGACAAAAATTAGCCGGGCCTGGTGGCAGGCGCCTGTAATCCCATCTACTCAGGAGGCTGAGGCAGGAGAATTGCTTGAACCTGGGAAGCAGAGGTTGCAATGAGCTGAGATCACACCACTGCACTCTAGCCTGGGCAAAAGAATGGAACTCTGTCTCAATAATAATAATAATAATGATAATAATAATAATAACAATAATAATAAGAACCTGTCTTGGGGAGGTAGGGAGGCAGTGGCAGGTGGGAGCACACACGAGCTAGAGAACAAACACTCACTTAAGCACCACTGTCCAATCAGATGTCATGTATACCACACAAATTCAAAGATAAATTAAAAATTTCAGCCGGGCGTAGTGGCTCATGCCTGTAATCCCAGCACTTTGGGGGGCTGAGGCAGGCGAATCACAAGGTCAGGAGTTCCAGACCAGCCTGGCCAATATGGTGAAACCCCATCTCTATTAAAAATACAAAAATTAGCTGGGCGTGGTGGCTCTTGCCTGTAGTCCCAGCTACCTTGGAGGCTGAGGCAGAAGAATCTCTTGAACTCGGGAGGTGGAGGTTGCAGTGAGCTGAGATCATGCCACTGCACTCCAGCCTGGGCAACAAAGCAAGACTCCATCTCAAAAAGGAAAAAAAAAAAAGAAAGAAAAATTCACCAGGCTGGACAACATAGGGAAACCCCCATCTCTACAAAAAATAAAATAAAATAAAATAAAATAAAATAAAATAAAATAAAATTATCCATGCATAGTGACATGTGCCTGTAGCCCTAGGTACTCAGGAGGCTGAGGCGGGAGCATCCCTGGAGCCCAGGAGTTCGAGGCTGCAGTGAGTTATGATCCCACTGCTGCACTCCAGCCTAGGTAACACAGTGAGATTCAGTTTCTAAACAAAACAACAAAGACTGCAGCCACGGAACACTGAGCCCCAAGTGAGTGCAGGGCCCTGTGCCTCTGAGAGGCTGCATGCCTGGGAAGCCACCCTTTCCTTGACATTGGCAGCAGGAAGTACCAGCCATTCCTGGATGGAGATTGGGTGAGTTCCCCAAGAGGGCTGGCGGTATTTACATGAATGACTGTTGATTTTCTCAGGAGGGTGGCACCATCAACTAATTAGGAATGCTGTCTACTTTGGCTCATTGTGTGTTCAAGGATAAAATGACAAATCAAAATAGTCTGGATGATTTCTAGAGCTTAGCTGCGTTTCATTCCTCTTATCTCTGAGTTTTAACATAAGTCAGGGGCCTCCTCATGCGAGATTTATACTGCTCACAGCTCCTCTCATTTTTTTCCTCCGATTTGTCTATCCATTTTCCCCAGTCTTCCCAGAGGACAGTGAAGTGGGGCTCTGACAGCGACAATCAATCCTCCAGCAGGGTTCCCACTAAGCCTTGGCTGCTAAGTACAGTTATGCACCTGAGCAGACAGGCTGTGCCGGCAGGCAAAGCGCATCAGCTGCGTTCATTTAACTGCAAGACAGGGAGGCTCTGCCGGCCTGTGGTACCTCAGGAAGCGCAAATCTCACCTTCCCCGACTCCTCTCACCGCTAATTAAAACTGCCCCCCTTGCGTGGTGGCACGCCCCTGTAGTCCCAGCTACTCCGGAGGCTGAGGCAGGAGACTCGCTTGAACCCGGGAGGCGGAGGTTGCAGTGAGCCGAGTTCAGGCCATTGCACACCAGCCTGGGCAACAAGAGTGAGACTCCTCTCAAACAAAACAAGAAAAGCCTGCGCCCCTCCTCATGGCTCTTCTCTTGGCATAGCACCTGCAAAATATCTTCCTTATTTTTTGGTTGTGTCCATTAGAACGTAGGCTCCAGGCAGGCGCAGGTGCAGGATTCAGGGGATTCGGTGATCGCGGCAGGAGTCCCAAGTCTGTGGGATCCAACCCGTCTTAGGAAAGACCTTCTCTGTATCCTCCCCGGTTCCATAGCTGGGTGTATGAAATTAACTGCCAACGGCAGAAGAACAGAGGAACGGGAACGCACATTTATTAATCTTTAATATTACCTCCATGGGGTCATTGCAGGAAAAATGGTGAAAACCCCCAAACCAGTGAGCTCTGAGAGCTTATAAAATAGGGGAACTGGAAGGGGGTGTAGGCCACTTAGGAGAGAGGAACTGATTTTTAGGAAAGATGAATAGGTCTTTACGAATTTCTGACAAAGTTTGTCTAGGTGTGGTGTGGACTTCTGCTGTGATAAGCGTCCATTTTTCCTGTGTGACAAAACTCGCGGGAGGGCATTTAGGACAAGTCGATTTCTTTTGGAGGCTCTGTCTTTAGACAGCTTAGGGGAGAAAGTCTCTCTGCATTTGCTGTTTTTTAAGTGCCTCTGGCTCAAAATAATCAATATACCAAAGCGGCACATTTTAGAATGGCGTATTCTGGTTTCCTCCACTGTCTTTAAGTTTTTGATATTTTGTTCCTTATAAACTTTTTTTGCATTCATTTAAAAATTTTAAGACATTGTATTAAAACATTATTTAAATTTTGTCCCCAAGCGAGTGCCTCGCTCTCTCACCTCTAGCCCAGGTCTGGCAGGAGCTGATTTTCTCACCGCTGAATTCCCAGAGCCCACAACAGTGCTCGTCACAAAATTAATACTCTCAGTTCTCCAAATAAAACATTCCGTAAGCTCCGCCCCCAACTGCTTCCTGAACTTCACGAACCCTCCCAGCCAGGACACAAGATGTCAGGGGCAAACACCCCGAACCAACCGAGCCCAGATTCCCTACCGCCCCGCCCATGTCCACGCCAAGCCCAGCTCTCCTCCCCCTGCCTCGTCGCCCCATCCTCCCCGAGGCCCCTTCCAGGGAGCTGGGCCTCGGCTAGCGCTCCAAAGCAGAGTTCACACGCCCTGGGGCGACGGCTGCGGGACACCTACGGAGGGCCGGGCAGGGAGCGTGAGACTGGAAGACAGCCCGGGAGCGAAGGACAGCGACGCGCGGTTTTCGGGGAGGAGCAGCGTGGGGCGCTGAAGGGGAGCGCGAGGAGTGGGAGGAAGGGAAGGAGGGGGAGGAGCGCGGTGTTGGCGACGCGCAGAGGGCGGTAGGTGGGGCGGGACGGAGGGCGCTGCGTCGGGAGAAAGTGGAGGGGCGCTGGTAGAGCCCAGGGCAGGGAGGGCGCGGCGGTGTGACTGGGGCCGTGGGCATGTGGGTGGGGAGCAGTGGGGATGTGGGCGGGGTCACGGGATGTGGGCGGGGCGTCGTAGGGGAGTGTGCGGGGGATGTGGGCCGGGCACAGTGGGTGGAGAGGGCGGGAAGTGGGCGGTGGGGGGAGAGTGCGGGGATGCGAGCGTGGGCCCGTGAAGGGAGACTGCAGGGGTGTGGGCGGGGCGCAGCGGGGGGGCCGCGGGAGTGTGGGCGGGGCCCGTGGGGTAGAGTGGGGGGGTGTGGGCGGGGCGCAGTGGGGGGGCCGCGGGAGTGTGGGCGGGGCCCGTGGGGTAGAGCGGGGGGGGTGGGCGGGGCCCGTGGGGGGGCCGCGGGAGTGTGGGCGGGGCCCGTGGGGTAGAGTGGGGGGGTGTGGGCGGGGCCCGTGGGGGGCCGCGGGAGTGTGGGCGGGGCCCGTGGGGTAGAGTGGGGGGTGTGGGCGGGGCCCGTGGGGGGGCCGCGGGAGTGTGGGCGGGGCCCGTGGGGTAGAGTGGGGGGGCGTGGGCGGGGCCCGTGGGGGGGCCGCGGGAGTGTGGGCGGGGCCCGTGGGGTAGAGTGGGGGGGTGTGGGCGGGGCGCAGTTGCGGGAGGGTGCAGAGACCTGAGAGCTTGAGGTTGTCCGGCCGGCTCAGCTCCTGGAGGCTGGTGCTGCGCTGTCGCCCAGACAGCTGGGGTCTCTGGTGGCGTCTGAGGGTCCCACTGTCAGCGCGGACACCCCTGCTCCAGCCAGAGGCGAGGCCCGGGCCGAGGTCTGGGCGCAGCTGGGGCAGGTCTTGAGAGGTCCGGCGGTGCGGGCAGAGTCCGGGCACCGCGGCGCTTGGCGCCGCTCGCTGGTGGTCATTTCTCCTGCGGGCGTCCTCGGGCCGCTGGTGGCCGCGCGCCCGCGCCATGGTTGACGTTCTGGGCGGGCGGCACCTGGTGACCTGCAAGGGCGCGGCGGTGGAGGCCGAGGTGGCGCTGCAGAACAAGGTGGTGGCGCTGTACTTCGCGGCGGCTCGGTGCGCTCCCAGCCGCGACTTCACGCCGCTGCTCTGCGACTTCTACACGGCGCTGGTGGCCGAGGCGCGGCGGCCCGCACCCTTCGAAGTGGTCTTCGTGTCGGCCGACGGCAGCGCCCAGGAGATGCTGGACTTCATGCGCGAGTTGCATGGCGCCTGGCTGGCGCTGCCCTTCCACGACCCCTACCGACAGTGAGTGGGGCCCTGGGGGCCGGGGGCCACCCGGCGCTTCGCCCCCGTGTCCCCCCAGGCCTCCCTCTATACACTGGGGAGCTTTTTATGACGCCCCACCTCCCGCTTATTCCTCCCACCTCCCAGTCTCTGGGTTCACATCCCGACTCTGGTAAATCACAGAGTCTCAGTTTCTCTGAGCCTCTCTTAAGAGATCAGAGAGGGTCGAGACCAGATTAGAAAACCCAGGGCATCAGCATCCCCGGGGTGCTCGTGGATCATGGACGCCGGCCGTTTCTGCCTCGGGTCTGGAGCTCCGGGAATCTGCATTGCTAAGGAGCTCCTAGTGATGTTGATGCTGTGGGTTCCGGGGCTTGGCTCCGGGAACCACCCGCCCAGTCAGCCCTGGGCTCCCAGCACCGCTGTGTGGTCCTCCCAGTTAGTGGGCAGGAAGCACAGGGACACGATCTGGATGCAGGGATGAAGGGTGACCCGCGAGGACATCAGCTCTGTGACAGGCACCCACAGAACAGCCTGTGGCTGGTGTGCTGGGAGGGAGGAACAGGGTCCAGGGCTGACAGGGACCCAGGTGCTGGCCAACTTTGCTGTTTCGTTTTTACCGACACTGATGGAATTTCATCACTAGAGAGACAGAAAACCCATGACTATAAACTATTACTCTAACTTTTGGAGAGGAGCCGGTAGGGATTGGCAGAGAAGGAGCTGACCGGGATTGATTGTTCTGTTTTTGGGGTTGGTCTCCTGCGGTCTCCTATGTGGTAAGAGTCCAGGCTTAGGTTTAAAGCAGGCCTCCTCAAGTGTGCTGTCCCAGCCACCTGCTTCTAAGCACCAGTGTGAATTTCTGCGTTTTGCTTTACAGAGGCCAAGCTCACATTTCACGGGATTATCATTAAGTTGTGGGATTACCCCCTAAGCTAATTATCATGAGATGACATTCCTTCTGGAAAATGAAAACTGGAAGCCAACTTTGGAAAGTTCTGTGGATGAGTAATTAACTGGAAGAAATCTGATTATTCTCCCAAGCATTACTTTTGGTGATTTGCAGTGAAAGAGGAGGCCCAGGCAGGGTGCCACTCAGCCTTGGTGTAAGATTGGACTTGCTTAATACTCAAGTTATTTGTAAGCTTTTGAAAGAAGACAGGGTTGAAATTGAGAGGCGATGGCAGTGTTATTATAATAATTAGGCACAGAGCTCTGGCCCAGCTCTGGGATTTACTTGCTAGGTGATGGTAGGCAAGGTATTTTATTGCTGAGCATATGATACATCACGTGGTTGTTGTCAGGGTTGAGCTGATCACAAAAGAGCTCATGTGTCCCCTGGTTATGTTCCAGCTCTCTAGTCTATTGCTCCATTTTACAGATGTGCCATTGAGGCATATAGTTGAGTTCTCTTGGCTCTGGACACCCTCTTTCTGCCTTGCCCTACTTGGTCTCTGAAGGGCCAGTGAGCCTTGGCCCCCAGGGGCACACAGACTGGCCTGGGGAGGTCATTGCTTGGGGCCATGCAGACCTCTCTTCTGTTTCTGATGCTCTGGCCAAGCCCGTGAGCTCCAGCTGGAGGCAGTGAGCTGCCTGACATGGCTCAGCAGTGTGCTCCTATCTTCTCAGCCTGAGAATTTTCATTTTGTAAACTTAGCTGTTTGTCTCTACACCTTTCCACACGGAACTTCCTTCCCCCTGTGGTTGTCACGCGTAAGCTAGGAAGTGGGATGTTCTGAGGGAATTGTTGGAGCTACATTCTAAATTCTGCTTGTCCTGTTCTGGATTCGTGGAATCAGATCATGAGCAAAATGGAAATAGCCGCAGCCAAGAACAAAAAAATGTGCAAAGCCTTCATGAGCACGTGGGAAGTTGCTAATGTGCGCAGAACACAATACTTTCTGGTTGGTGCTGTGGAGAGGTGGAGCCCAGGATAGTGGCATTGTGGGAGCTCCACTTGGCAGGTGCGGGGTAATGGGGCCTTGTGCTTTTATTCCTCAAAGGCCCGAGATCATCACCCTCCCTCCACTGAATTTCTGGTAAATCAGCTGAGTCAAGGGAGGAGCAGAAAAACAGCTGCTTCCAAAGAGATCACAGAGTGACACCCTTGGGGGTTACTGTTGGCATGGCTGGAGGCAGAGGACAGCTGCAGATGTCCCTGCAGGGAGGGGAGGCCTGGGGCCCTCCCTTGTCCTCCAACCTGTGTGGAGCTCAGCTTTCCAGTGTACCCTGCACCATACGCTCAACACAGCAGTGAGGACTGCCTTCAGCCCCCAGAGAGGCAGCTATTTACTAACGTCCCTGAAACTAAAGAATTGGGTGTGTGGCCGCGGCTGGCAGTTCCCTGTCTTAAGTGCCCAGTGCAGGTGGGCTGAGAGGAGGTGCCAAGTCTTAATGTGGGGACAGCTTTGGTGACACACACCAGCACGCTCTGGAGGTGTGTTTTCAGGAGGAGCTTCCATCCTGCCCTGTCTTCCTTTCGGGCATTAGTGGGTTGATGAGTAAAACTCATGATCTGTCCAGGAATGAAGTAACAAGTTCTCGATTCACCAGCAGGAATTCCCATGACATGCTGCTATTCACAAAAGACATGATCAATGGTGATTTTATATGATTTATTACCAGCTCTCGTCCCTACTTGGCCTCCAGAACTTCGGTAGACCCCAAAGAGCACTGGGGGAAGGTGTCCCCTCCTCCTGCCTGCTCAGCTCTTAACACTGCCTTCTGGCCATGGCTGGTGTTAAGAGCTGCCTCAACTTCCAGGCTGGACAAGTTTAGATCTGATGGAAAAGGAAAAACTGGCTAGGGCTTCACTTCTTGCGTAGGGAATGGCTCAGGGGGAGAAGAATCAGCGCTTGTGCCAATGATTCCTGACTCTACCTTTCCACCCCTTGACTCTCTCCAGCTCTATGTTCCCACTGCTTCCTGGGCCCTCTGGGCTCAACATAACCACTGAATCCACTGATTTTGCGGCTCCCAGATCCTTCCCCTTCTGATCATTTCTGTTTCCCTCACTCAGGTGCTGGAGCTTTAGAATACTCCCCTACGGGGTCTACAGGGCCTCGGCGTTCCCCTCTAATTGACTCTTGGTTCAAAGACTGATCTGGTTTAGCCATGCCTTGTACCAGCTCCCCGAGGGTTTCCTGAGTTTCCGTTGCCCGCAGGATGGAGCCAGACATGGCTGAGTGCCTGGCATCCTCAGGGAGTGTGTTTGGTGGGTGGTTGGAGCAAGTGAGCAAAAGACAGTGCCGCAGAGAGATTTGCTTGGCCACGGCCTGCTCCTGGCTGAGATGACAGAGACTAGAGTCATGAGTTGCCATGGCAACCCAGAAGTGTGGTTATGCCAGCAAGAAGGATGTGGCTGTGTTTGCTGAAGACAGACAGGGACTAACGTTGGTTGCAACAGCGCTGTGGACAAAGAAGAACTGGGCTCTTGGATTTTTCCCAAATGCTTGAAGTCCTGAGTGATCACCATGATAACATTCTCTCCTCCAAAAGCAAGTTATCGTCTCTATGCAAGCAGCTCAGGGTCCAGAGGGGATCGAGATGAAATTAGGGAAAAAGTGTGGTTCTTCCTCTCCTGTGCAGCTCCAAGGTTACATTTGTCCCCAGGCCGAGGCTGCCAGCATGGGGATTTAAGGTACTGAGTGTCTCTGTGAGTATCAGTGAAATGACCACCTGGCCTCCTCATTCCTCAAAGCCCAGCCTGCCCTGCCTCCCCCCGACTGTGTCAGAGCTTGATTTAATATTGCAAGTGATTAGAACAATGATGACAACAACTCAAAGAGCTTAAACAGTGACATTCATGGGCTGGCTTTAATGAAACACCCATCAACCAGGAGACAGTCTCAAGGCAAAGCTGGAGGCCGCCGAAGATTCGGCTTTGTGGCTTGCCTTCTGCAATACTGTCACCTTGCTCAGGCTGCCGGCAGTGGCTGCCTGGCAAATCCTGTGTCTCCTCATGGTGGCAGAATGGCTGCTGTGTCTCAGACTGCACGTTCCCATACCTTCCTCTTTCCCAGCACACAGCCAGCTGCTGCAGCAAGCCTCATTGATTCTGATTCTGCTAGTTCTCCATTTCCGTTAAGTGTCGCCAGGGGCCACCAGATAGATACGCTGACTGGGCAGTAGGAACTGGAGGTGGGTCTTTCCTACCCAGTGAGGACATCTGGTGTTTAACAAGTACTTACTATGTGCCAAGCCTCATTCTTCAGTAAGCTGTTTATTTAATCCTGACAACTTCAGAAGGTGGGCTCTGTTATTCCCCTGGTGTAGATGAGGAATCTGAGGTGCAGGAGGTTAACTACCTTGCCCACAACACACAGCTGGTTCCTGCCGGAAATGGAAGAGACATGATTTCCCAAGGAGGGTCACAGATGCTGAGCAGGAAACCACAGGCCTGTACTCCCCGTGCTGTCGGGGGCACCCTGCCCAGCCTCCCCTCTTCCTGCTCTGTCCTCCCTCCTCCCAGTTGGTACAGGGAAGGCAGAAAGCCCTGGGAGACTGCTGTGGGGCCAGCCAACTTGAGCGAGCGTGAACCACCGGATCTCAGGCACCACCCCAGTGTCAGGGGCAGGGAGACTGCATTTCTGATGAGTTTCCCGGTGATGTTGGTGTGGCTGTTTCTGGGATGTTATTCCTCCCACAGTGTTCCTGACAGTGCTGGTCAAAGGCTGGTGCATGGACTCACATTAGTTGGGAATCTGTTAGGAGTGCTCGTGCTGCCCGAGCTGATGGGTGCAGGAATCTGTAGGTGAGATGCTGCTGCTGCTGGCATCCCATCCCCTTCACAGCCCGCCAGCAGCCCTCCAAGGAGTCCCCATGGGCGCCAGCCGGATGGTCTGCTTCCCTTTATGAAAGTGACGCGTGCTGCCCTGCCCTGGCCCACTGCCCAAAGTACAGATGCTGATATAACCCGTTTGCCAAAACTTCTGGATAAAGAGCTGCAATCAGGCTGCTGTCCATTTTGCTGCAGTCTTTATGCATAGAGCTACTTGGTTGTTTCTCTTTTCTTCACTTTTTTTTTTTTTTTGAGATAGAGTTTCACTCTTGCTGCCCAGGCTAGAGAGCAATGGCGCCGTCTCAACTCACTGCGACCTCTCCTTCCTGCGTTCAGGCGGTTCTCCTGCCTCAGCCTCCCGAGTATCTGGGATTATAGGCTCCCACCATCACGCCCAGCTAATTGTTGTATTTTTAGTAGAGACAGGGTTTCACCATGTTGGCCAGGCTGGTCTCGAATTCCTGATGTCAGGTGATCCACCCACCTCAGCCTCCCAAAGTAGTGGGGTTACAGGTGTGAGCCACCACGCCCGGCCACACATTTTTGTTTTACGCCTCTTAAGCTCATTGCTTAGGCACTCAGATTTTAGGTGTTGTGCAGGGTTCTTAAGATTCAAGAGAGGGACATGTCTGCCACATCTTTCAGGCCCACTGCCGTGGTGCATAGATCTGTGCAGGCTCTGTCCAGCTGAGTTCCACATGAGCCTCTCCTGTTGTGGGCACTCATGACTGTTCGTGACAGAGTTGGGGTCCCCTAAACCTGCAGTTTGACATGAATTTGCATCTGCTTGGTGTTTGAGATTTTACTTTGCCAGTTCGGCGAATGTAGTTTTGGCAGAGAGATCTCTGCCTTGTCTTTTCTGCACTGTGTGTGATGGGTTTTAGAGAATAGTTGACGTGTTTATTTTTCCCATCTTTCCTTTCCCTCCTCAGGTGAGTCATTGGACCCCATGGGGAGCAGGTCCATAGCTGCCTGGGTGTGCACTGGTTCTTTGAAGAACAGGCCTGTCCTGGCAGGAGTCATACATCCCCAGAAAGGCCGCAGCCCCCCCACCAACCCGTGTCCCCTCAAGGAGGTTCAGTCCACACTGGATCTGTGTAATGACCAGACTGGCCTGATTTTAGGTATTCTTGCGCCTTCTCTCTTTTTCCTTGCTGATTCTCCGTAGATTATTTTTTTTTAGAGATAGGGTCTTACGCTGTTGCCCAGGCTGGAGTACAGTCATGTGATCACAGCTCCCTGCAACCTTGAACTCCTGGTTTCAAATGGATCCTCTTGCCTCAGCCTTCCGAGTAGCTGGGACTACAGGTGCATGCAACCACGCCTAATTAGTTCTTTAAGTTTTTTTGTGGAGACAGGGCCTTGTCATGTCACCCAGGTAGGTCTTGAACTTGGCTTAAGTGATCCTCTCATCTTGACCTCCCAAAGTGCTGGTTTTACAGGCGTGAGCCACTATGCCCAGGCTTGGTAGAGATTTGTTTCACATTTTCGTGTTTCTTAAGAACCAGACTGGGTTTTATTGCTTACCCCATGTTGGTTTTTGCTGGTTCATTTTCTATTTTGCGGATTTCTGTTCTCAGTCTTAGTCTGCCTTCTTTCTACTTTCTTGGTGTTTGTGCTGTCGTTATTTTTTCTAGCTTCTTGAATTAGATCTACAAGTCATCTATCTACAAGTTTTGGATAAGTGTGTTTAAGGCTACAGCTTCCTAAGTGTGTTTAATTGTGTTTACAGCTTGGGATTTGAGGTATATTCCATATTGTTCTTTAAATATTTTGTCATCTGCCTTGCTGTTTCCCATATAACATATAGTTAGTTTTAAAACTCATTCTTAAAAATGATTTCTTATTGGCTTCCAATTCCATTACCTTTGGTCTGATTAAGTGATCTATATATTATTGAGCACTTGATATTCATTAAGGCTTCCTTCTTAAGTCTCATTAAGACTGAGAACGTGATTGATTTTGTTGCTGTTTTATAGATGTTTGGAAACAAAGTATATCGTCTCCCTGTTGAGTGTAGGGGACCCTGTATTTCTTCCTGTTTGGGTGAGGATGTGTCTTTGACCTGGATGCCAGAAAGTGGCAGGAAGACCCTGATGGACATGTCAAAGGGGAGACTTGGTAACATCAGGGTCTCAGATGGGTTATTCCTTCCACTCAGGTTCACAGTCCTCACAATCCCGAGGGTGACAGATTGAGGAAAGCTGATTATTGTCACTGTGAGGCCCTCATGACCTGGCTGTGGTAAACAAGAAGGGAATTTCATTTGGCTGCCCTGTCTTGAGAGAATAATCCCAGTGAAGGTGACAAGAATTGCAGAACCAAGAAGTCAGATCCTCCTTTCCCTAAACGAATACAAATTATTTTGTAAAAAGACCACTCATCAGGTTACAGATGCTGTAAATGTCAGTGACGTAAAATGAGGCTAAGAAACCTCTCATCATTATAATGGCAATCGATGCATCATTGAATTTGTAGGGTGGAAAGTTGAATGAGGCTCTGGATGTATTTAAAACTCATGGAATTTTAACTTTTTTTTTCTTAGGAATAGGGTCTGTTGCCCAGGCTGGAATGTCGTGGTGCTAATGAGGCTCTCTGCAGCCTCAACCTTCTGGGTTCAAGTAATCTTCCCACCTCAACCTTCCGAGTAGCTGGGACTATAGTGCGCACCACCACATCCAGTTCATTTTTTAACTTTTGTAGAGACTGTGTTGCCCAGGATGGTCTTGAATTCCTGGGTTTAAGCAATCCTTCCACCTCCGTCTCTCGAAGCGCTGGGATTACAGGTGTGAGCACCCACACCTGGCTGGAATTTTAACTTTTACCATTATATGTACCTGATATTTTTTAACCATTCGAGATGTAGAGGACAGAAACAATTGCTGGGTTTATTTGTGGGTTTAGACCTGCTCTGTCCAATCTCGTAGGCGCTAGCCACTTGTGACTCCTTACATTTAAATTAAAAGTTAATTAAAATGAAAACTTCAGTTCCTCAGGCACATCAGCCACGTTCTGAGCTCTCCCAGCCACATGTGGCTGGTGACTGTGGGATTGCGTGGCACAAATAGGGAGAGTTCACTGCGGCAGGCAGCTCTCCGGAGCGGAACTGGGTTAGAAACAAGGCTGGGCGTAGTGGCTCATGCCTGTAATCCCAGCACTTTGGGGGGTCGAGGTAGGTGGATCACTTGAGGCCAGTAGTTCGAGACCAGTCTGGCCAACTAAGAGGCTGAGACGGGAGAACCTGGGAGGCGGAGGTGGCAGTGAGCTGAGGTGGCACCACTGCCCTCCAGCCTGGGCGACAGGAGTGAAACTCTGTCTCAAAAACAAAACAAAACAAAACAAAACAAAAGAAAAGAAATAGTAGCACCAAGAAGAAAGGAACCCCCACTCCAGTCGGAGGGTGAGCAGGAGCAGGCAGAGTGGGGCACCTGGTGGCTTCCTCCAAGTTGGCATGCCTCAGGCCGGGGGGAGGGACCTGTCCCTTCAGATGTGCATGCGGAAGTGCTAACTTCGGTACCACTCTTCTCTCCTGCAGCAAGCTGAGGGAGAGGTACAACGTCACAGCGATCCCCAAACTTGTGATTGTGAAACAAAATGGGGAGGTCATCACCAACAAAGGGCGGAAGCAGATCCGGGAGCGGGGGCTGACCTGCTTGCAGAACTGGCTGGAGGCGGCCGACGTCTTCCAGAACTTCTCCGGTTGAAGTGGGAGGGACCTCAGAGGGCCAGGACAGGTCCTGTTTCTCTACCACAGACGCTGGGCAAAGAAGAGCATGCTGGGTTCCTTCCTCTGCTGGTGTGATTCCATTGTATTTCAGAGCAGAAGCACTAAGCTGTGGTAGACAGCAGCTATTGCTCAGGAAATAATGCACTCCTTATTTTGTTCATGCAGCTTGTTTGTATTATAGTGATTTTTGTTACTCTTAGCATATCTTTATCCACCTGTGCTTAAGGAAGGATCCTCGTATGTTCATACTGAGCTGTTGGAAATCTATGCAAGACATTTATTTGTACAAGTCTTTTCAGGTCAAATAATATATTTACTGATAACATTTTCTGGTGATCTGTTTATTTTAATGATATACTTTCATAATTATCTTAATAAACTTTGCAAGCTGTGTGCTTTAATAAACAAGCCTATTGCCTTCTTTCTCATTCCAGTCCAAGTGCCAGTAGGAAGAAAAGAAGTCTCTTGACAAATAGCATGCTTAAATACGTTTTATTTGTCACAGGTGGTAGTTTTTAATTATGTGTCATCTTGGAATATCCTTCTTCTCTTTGTTTTCTTTACACTTATTTGTAATAGCATTGCAATATCCTAGAAAGCAATGGAATTTTCAAGGGCGTGCCTTCATCTTCAAGATCAAACCTCAGTGTTATCTGAAAGTTAATAATCCATTGAAGTAAACAAAAAGCCCATTCACAATCTTTGTTGATGGTGGGAAAGCCGTCAGGAGTGCAGATTACTGTCCCAGCCTCCCCTGGGGCCTCTTGCTGGTGGTTCTTCCCTGTTTCTTTCCAGCCTCATTCTGATCTGATCAGCTGGAACGGTGGAAATCTCTAGCCAATTCCTACAGATCTGGGCAGCTTGCTGGGTTCCTCAGCTGGGAATCTGGAGCAAAGCTGATACCAATAGAACCAGAAATAGCAGAGTAAAGAAGCCCAGTGGGTGGTACTCAGTGAACCAGTGCCGCTGAGATGTAAGCTGTGGATTAATTAGTCCCTTCAGTCTCTCTCATCCCCTGTGCTGTCAGTTACCTTCCCTCCCCTGAACACTGAGACCCAGCCTCCTGGGGGCCCTGTAGATTGACTGAGGATGCATTTAAGCTAAGCTGATTGTAATTTGTACCCCAAGTAAGTCATGTAGGAACGCAGTTTTCTTCCAAAACTCAGAGGTGACATATTTATTGAATTATGGTATTTTCAATCACACGTTCCTGGGAACTGGGTGGACACCTCTTGCATGTAGAGTGTCCATAAAGTGTATGCTCATGCATGAGTGTGTGTGTGTGTGTGTGCTTGTGTGCGTGTGTCTATGTCTGTGTGAGAACCACAACCACAGACTTTTAAAAGGTAGAGAAACAGCCTTCCTGGTAAACATACTTGTAATTGCCAAGAACTGTTGGTGTTTGTGGGCTGGAAGATCTTGCTTTGGGATGATTGGAGGGAGAGGCAGGGTCCACCTCACCTGACTGGCCTTGTAGGACATGGGCCTTCATTACCCAGGGGTGGGAGGGTGATGTGTCCTTTGAAACATTATTGCTCCCTGAAGACACATACTTTTTTTTTTTGAGATGGTGTCTTACTCTGTTGCCCAGGCTGGAGTGCAGTGGCACCGTCTTGGCTCATTGCAACCTCTTCCTCCTGGGTTCAAGTGATTCTCCTGCCTCGGCCTGCCAGGTTGCTGGTTCACAGATGGCACCTGCTCACTGTGTCCTCATGTATTGGAAGGGGTGATGTCCTCTTTTAGGAAGACACTACTCTGATTTACGAGGGCTCCACCCCACCCTCCTGACCTAATCACCTCCCAAAGGCCTCACCTCCTAACACCACCATTGCCTGGGTGTTAGGACTCCAACACCTAAATTACATGGGACAGAAACATTCAGACCGTGGCAACCACACAGAAAAAAATACACACACAAAGCAAACAGCCAGGTAAGATAATTCTTAAACAAAAATGCAGGAGAGAAGGATAATCCCGTTTACCAATGGCTCAACGGTTCTGGATAGCTGGCAAAGTGGAGGTGATTAAAACAGAGACTCTTTTCAATCCAAATTATACCAGATCTTGCAAGAGCTCAGTCGCTATTGCAAGGACAGTACCGAGGATGGCACTAGACCATTCATGAGAAATCCACCCCCGTGATCCAATCGCCACCCACCAACCCCACCTCCAACACTGGGAGTTACAATTCAACATGAGGTTTGGGAGAGGACACGCATCCAAACTAGATCAGTTACCAAGCTGAACCTTGGTCTGCCCACCTAGCACAGCAAAGCTAAACAGACATCGTGATTGCAGTGAAAGCGGGGGATTTATTGCAGGGTGCCATCGAGAATCAGGCAGCTCAGGCTTAAGACCCAAACTTGAGGCCTTATGTGTAAAAACCCCAACTTAAGGGTTTTTAAAGGCGGGAGGCAGAGGTTACACGCAAAGTCATAAATGAATTCATGGAAGGTGTACATTGGTTTGGCCTGAAAGGGTGGGACATTTTGAAGTGGGGAAGCTCATAGTCATAGGTAGATTCAAAGATTTTTCGATTTGTGATTGGTTAAGCTTTGTCTAAAGACTTGGGGTCAGCAGAAAGGAATGTTGAGCTCTGGCCTGTGGGTGTGGCTTCCTCCAGGCCCCTTAGGAAGAAATTTAGAATAGGGAACAGTGGTCACACTTCGGTCCTCAATTCTTTCTTATCTGAGGTCTGCATGCCAGTAGATGACATTTTCCATGTGGTATGGTCCAGGTTTCTGAAAAGCAACTCAAGAACATTGTTAAGGTGTAATATTTAGTTTCTGTAGGGAACCAAACATTCTGTGGCTCTGACTTCCTTGGCTATTGTGAGGCTCTTGTCAGCTTCTTGTTTACTAGGTTGCCTATTTACTTCTCAAGGCTAGGTGGGTACCTGGAATTTCCCTTAAAGAAACTCAAGGCCGGGTGCGGTGGCTCACATCTTGTAATCCCAGAACTTTGGGAGGCCGAGGTGGGTGGATCACCAGGTCAGGAGTTTGAGACCAGCTTGACCAACATGGTGAAATCTCTATTAAAAATACAAAAATTAGGCTGGTGTGGTGGCGGGCACCTATAATCCCAGCTACTCAGGAGGCTGAGGCAGGAGAATCACTTGAACCTGGGAGGCAGAGGTTGCAGTGAGCTGAGATTGCACCATTGCACTCCAGCCTGGGTGACAGAGTGAGACTGTGTCTCGGGGGGGAAAAAAAGAAACTCAAGATATTCCTTTATTTCCATGCTTGTGGGGGCTGTCAGCCTCTAAGAGAGGTCCCTGCTGCAGCTCAAGTGTGGTCTATTCTCTCTTGGAACTTGTCAGATGTTCTCCTTGCCTGTGGTTATATACTTTCTTTTTTTTTTTCTGACACGGAGTTTCACTCTTGTTACCCAGGCTGGAGTGCAATGGCGCGATCTCGGCTCACCGCAACCTCCGCCTCCTGGGTTCAGGTGATTCTCCTGCCTCAACCTCCTGAGTAGCTGGGATTACAGGCACGCGCTACCATGCCCAGCTCATTTTTTGTATTTTTAGTAGAGACGGGGTTTCACCATGTTGACCAGGATGGTCTCGATCTCTTGACCCCGTGATCCACCCGCCTCGGCCTCCCAAAGTGCTGGGATTACAGGCTTGAGCCACAGCGCCGGGCCTGGTTATATACTTTCATGATGCTTTAGCGAGCCTCTATTTTTACCCAGTGCCTGTTGGCTGTTGTGAGCTGTTCAATCTGGAAACATACTAGTTTACTTCCGGGAAATGTTTCAGAATTATTTTTCTTAATTTTCTGTCTTCTGTGTTGTTGGTGTTTGTCTTTCTGCAATTCCTAGTATTTGAATTTTGGACTTTCTAGATTGGACCTCTAAGATCCTTATATTTTTCTCTTCTATCTGCCATTCTCTTTTTATTTTTATTCTACTTTTGAGAGATGTCCTTAAATCTCTAGCCCTTTATCTGCTATCATGATTTTAAAACATATAAAGAATTCTTTGTTGTCGGAGTCAGTTTCTCTCTGTCTCTGTCTCTTTCCTCTCCCTCTTTCCTGTCCTCCCTCTTTCTTTCATAGTATTCTGTTCTAGTTCCATGAAAGCAATATCTCCTTATACCTCTCTAAGGATATTAACCATATATATATATTTTGAAACAAGAGTTTTGGTCTTGTTGCCCAGTGGGAAGTGCAAAGGCGTAATCTCAGCTCATTGCAACTGTGACATGGTAAAAGCTCCACAAAACTGCATACCTTAACCATACCTCAGCTTTCTGCTGAAACTGCTCTCTATAATCCAAATGTGAATAAGTAATTAAGGACTGTAATTTCCACCGTACCCAGACAATGTGTAAACAAATGCTAATCTTGACTTTTATGAACCACTTAAGTAACAATCAAAATGTCAAAAGTCCCCTGGTCCTCAGAGTGTCCAGAGCCCCTCGCCCTCATCTTCACCCAGGAATCCACTGGAATGTCCAGAGCCCCTCACCCTCATCACTGCCCAGGAAGTGATTTACAGAATCCGCTCACCCTCGAACATCTGAAGCCCCTCACCCCCACCCCGCCCCTCACCCTCACTCCCGAGGTGGTTTTATGGGTATAAAATGTCTTAACACCCTCCTTTCGGAGTCATGGGTTGGAAAGATGCAAGTCCTCGGTGGCTGCTGGCAATAAAGACCCTGCAATTTGGCATACTTTTGTCTTGGTGTTGACTTTCTATGCTCGGGCCAGTAAAACACAACCTCCACCTCCCAGGTTCAAGTGATTCTCCTGCCTCAGCCTCTGAATAGCTGGGATTACAGTCATGTGTCACCATGCCCGGCTAATTTTGTATTTTTTGTAGAGACGAGATTTTTCCATGTTGGTCAGGCTGTTGTAACCAAGCAAGTCAGAAGGAAAGGGTCATGCTCTAAGTTCCAAATTAAGAGTCCTTTATTTACCGGTGACCAAGAGATGGCTAACGCTCAAAATTCTCTCCAAGGAAGGGGCTTAATTTCCCTTTATATCTTGATTTAGGTAGGGCGGGGGAGCCTAGCTGAAGTGGAATTTTACAGAAGCAGAAAGAGCAAGTTAGTAGGAAGCATTAAGGGGGGTAGCAGGGGGAACTTTCCATACAATCACTAAGGGGGTGTCCAGGTACTTTCTACACAACAATCAAAGGTGAGTTTTTCCCAATAGCAGGTGGGCTTGACAAGCAGGATTTGGTTACAATGGTTACAGGTGCTAAGAACAGCATGCTTCAAACCTCAGTGCTTCACAGCTCTGAGTACAGCATGACCCAGTTATGAACCTGAGGGGCCTTGGCAGAGAGGGAGAGGCCAGAGAGAGCTTGCCAGGTTTGCAGCTAAGATGGAGTCAGTTAAGCTAATGCAAGTTAGGTTATTACAAGGCTGGTCTTGAACTCCTGACCTCAGGTGATC